TATTGTAGAGATGAGGTCTCGCTGCCCAGGCGGGTCTCGAACCCACGGGCTCAGGCATTCTACTCACCTCAGCCTCCCAAAGGCGTGGGATTACAGGCTGAGCCACCGAGCCCAGCTTGGATCTGTGACTTCTTTATTCACTGCTCTGTCCCCAAAGCATAGAACAAAGTAGCTACTGGGTAAAGTTTTGTTGACTGAATGACTTGATGCATTCATTTTTAAAGCTTCACTATGGCAGCATCATGGATAATGAAGGTGGAGCAGGGAGGAAAGGGGGAACTGTCACTCGGAATTGAAATAGTCCAGTCAGGAGATTTGGAGGGCATGGGGTCAAGAATTACTTGGGAGGAGAGCTGGTGAGACTTAGCAACTCACTGGATGGGGAGAAGTGAAAGATAATGACTCCCAGATTTCTGTCTTGAGTGGTTTGAGCAGATGATGATGTTGTCAGGGATAGGTGAAGCCATGGGGATGAATGAAATGGATCAAGGAGAATGTATACTAGGGTGGCCAACCTTCCTGGTTTCCCAGGACTGTTGGTTTTGGCACCGCAAGTCCCACTTCAAACCCAGGCACACCAAGCTGGTCGGTCACTCTCATATGCAGAGGGAAAAGATAGCTGAAGATGGAATGCCAACAGTACGAAAAGGGAGAAGGTGGGGAAGTCTGTTTGGGAAATGGAGCACAGGCAGTTGAGAGGTAGCAGGAGACTCAGTGGGGCGTGGTTTCGTTTATGGAAGCTAGAGAGGGGATGCTTCAAGAAAAGAGTGACCAATAGTGTAGGTTGAGTTTCACTGGGGATTTGAAGTTTCTAGCTGTCCTTGAAAAGTATATCATGTTATAGATAGAAACTGTAAGCCGGGCTCGGTGGCTTAGCCTGTAATCCTGCACCTTTGGGAGGCTGAGGTGAGTGGATTGCCTGAGCCCATGGGTTCGAGATCTGCCTGGGCAGGCGAGACCTCATCTCTACAATAAATCAAAAAATTACCGGGCATGGTAGCGCACGCCTGTAGTTCCAGCTACTTGGAAGGCTGAGGCAGAAGGATTGCTGGAGCCCAGCAGGTCGAGGCTGCGGTGGCTGGGAGCGCACCCGCTCCCAGCCACTGCACTCCAATCTGGGAGACAGAGTGAGACTCCAACTCAACAAAACAAAACAAAACAAAACAACAACAACAAAACAAAAAAAAACAAAAAAGAAACTGTAAATGTTTCTTGAAATGAAAGATTAAAATGTTATGTCTCCTTTTATTGTTGTTAAAATACATTATTGAGGGGAGCCAACTTCTGATATTTGCTGGGTTGTAGGGGTAAAAAAATGGATTTAGAGATTTTGCTAATATTAGTGTTTGGCTATCTCAGGTGAATGCATTATTTTGAATACTGGGCAGCATGAGTAAGATGTTACATTCTGCAGTTCTGAACCAACATTGAATCTGAATAGTCATAAAATCAGAATGTCAGAGCTGGACATTGGTGATTCATAAAAACTTGGAATTTATTAAAAAATGTGTATTCCTACATGTTTAGACTTAGGTCATCTTCAACATACTCTTCATTTGATGCAGTACACCTATTGAGACACTATTTCTACTGCTCAAAACAGCTTTTGAACTCGTCAGTTTTGAGGTCTTTTAGCACTTCTGCCTTTTTTTGTTTCACCTCTTCCACAATGGCAAAACATTTCTCTTTGAGGACTTTCTTCATCTGGGGAAACAGAAAACATCACTTGGGGCAAGGTCTTGGGGTGAGATCAGGTGAATAGGGAGGTTGGGGCACTAGAGGTCATGCTGTTTTTGGTCAAAAACTACTGAACACTCAGTGTGGTATGGGCAGGTATGCTTGTAAGTCACCCATCATGATATAGGGAAACATGTTAAGAGAATCTCCAAAACAAAAATTCACTGACGCCAAATGCCTCCTATTACAACACTAGCTGGTACACTGATGCTAATGGGTTTCTAGAACACTGACCTAGTGAAGGAAGCCTGTATTACAAGGGTCCATCCTCCAAAAGATAATCCTAGGGTTTTGGGGGGGTCTTCCTTCATACATAGTAGTTCTTAATATTTTGGAGTAATGAACTTTTTTGAGAATCTATTTAAAACCCTGACCCATCTCTCTGTAAAAAGGCACATAAACATTTGCTGAAACTTTGGGGAATGGAAGGTTATAGATGGTTACCTGAATCCCTTATCAGGTTAAGAGAATCACTAATCTAGTACAGCCATCCTGTGTATACTTCAGGTTATTAAGAGGGCTAGAAAAGTTAATTAACTTATCCAGGATCACATAGCTAGATAGTGACTGAACTACTTGTTTTGGTGTTTTATCCATTATATATAATTGCCACTGTTTTAATGCAGGTTCAGTCCCTCTTGGTCTATTATTAGGTTTATTGGTCACTGTGCCAGCTCAGTACAAGTCTACTCCAATCCCCATGTCCTATCTAAAGTCGATCTTTTTTTTTTTTTTTAACTCTATGTCCATAGATTGAGTGAAAATGCTGCTGTTTAGGAAATGTGATTGACAACTTTTAAGTCATGAATTAAGAGTTGATGAGGCAGGCCGGGCCTGTAATCCCAGCATTTTGGGAGACCAAGGCAAGAGAATTGCCTGAGCTTAGGAGTTCGAGACCAGCCTGAGCAACTTGGCAAGACTTCATCTCTACAGTAAATCAAAAAATAAGCTGAGCGTGGTAGTGTGCACCTGTAGTTTCAGCTACTTGGAAGACTGAGGTGGAAGGATCACCTGAGCCCAGCAGCAGGTCAAGCTGTGGTGACCGTGAGTGTGCCACTGCACTCCAGTCTGGGCAATAGAGTGAGACTCTGACTCCAAAAAAAAAAAAAAAAAAGTTGATGAGGTAAAAGCTCTAATTTGTTAATTGTGCCTTCTTTTCTTTGGAATAGGATGCTGTATGACTATGTTGAAAGGAAGCGAAAGGAAAATTCAGGAGCCCAACTGCATGTCACCTATTTGGTGTCTGGCAGTCTCATTCAGAATGGACATTCCGTAAGTTCTCAGAATCTTCTCATTAACTTAAATGTGTTTGAGCTGTAAACAGTGTTAAACATAATACAGAGGAGAGAAAAAAAACCCTAGATTTAGTATTATAGAAATTATAAAAAGCTACTTGAAGGTGATGATAACTTTGGGTTTTTAGACTAAATCTAAAACAGAAGTTTGGGCAATATCTATATTATCTAAAGAGAGAGACTATATCATTATTCTGCAACAAGATGTTAGGAGGCTGCTTTTGTTATTCCTATACCTCTTTTTTCCTTTTGAAGGTATGTTGAGGATAATGCTGGTTATGTTTCAGCCTGTGCAAGTTTTAAACCACAAACACAGGTGTCAAAAAATACATTTAAAAAAAACTGAACTTCATTTTAATTTTGAGCATTCATTTTGTTAGGCTTATGCCTAAATGGCTGAAGTGCAGGGGTTGTTGGCAGGGGACTGAGCTAATGTAGTACGTAGGTTGGGAACAGCTTTATTCTCCTCCATCTTTTTATAGTCCCATCTGGCATCTAGTCACTCATCAGCACAGGTCACCGCTGCATTTTCCTTATCCTGACCATAAAGCCTTCTCAAGACTGTTGACTTTTTCTTAGCTTCTTCCTTGTCCCTCTCAGAGGCACAGGGATCGTTCTACTACTCCCATACCTTGGGTAGACACCAGAAGCTCTGCTGAGCTTTCTTGTTCATCTGCCTGCACCAGACTGAGCTCTGAGAACTTTAATAATTCCCCCCTCTCTGGCTTTCTCCCAAAAGTAAAGCCCATCTTCTCTGTTCTCACTTCCCTAAACCTTCTATCTGAAAGTTCTTTGGCTTCCACCACCCTGAGCCTCATGGTACTTGGCCCAAAGATAAGGACTCTTCTCAGAGGTCCACTAATATGTGTTTTTCTCTTCCCTTTGACTTTCCTTCAGCATCATAGTTTCAGAGCCCCAATTTGTCAAAATATTGACTGGATTTGCTTTTTAGTGGTAGAATTGGAAGCATATAAAATTTGGAACTGGAATGTCAATTTAGTAATTTCCAAGGAGAAACAAAATTGCTAGGGGGATCAGGTCCTTCTGTCCTCTAGCCAGCATATTCTTTCCTTGTTAACAAGCCATTTGGCAAGCCAAATGAGAATCAAAATATTAACAAGTGTAGAGTAAGATGTCATTGATAGCTCCTAAACACAAAATTAAGCTGACCCGATTCATTTACTGTCAGAGATCAACTTGCCTCCAGAATCCTCTTCCAGTATGGAGATTGAATGGATATTGTTATAGTTTATAGCTGATTATCATATTTTCTGCTGTTTTCAAGGGTGAAGTAACCTCCTTCTTTAGTTTTGTCTTTTTCTTTTCTTATATTATTACCCTCAATCTAGTTGTAGTTAAGCCTTTACCTGGGAACCATTGTGTTTCTTTAAAATGGTGTGGGGTTTTTTTGGTCACGGTACCCTTTGAGAATCTGAAAGAAAAATGCATCAGTTGACATTCTTAACATTTTGAGAGTTCACAGATCTTCTAGAATAGGATCCAAAGTTAAGAATTTATGTTTTAAGGCTGGGTGCAGTGACTCAGGCCTATAATCCCAGCACTTTGGGAGGCCGAGGTGAGAGTATTATCTGAACCCAGGGGTTTGAGACCAACCTGGGCAACATGGCAAGACCTTGTCTCTATTGTTAAGAAGTCAAAAAATTAGCTGGGTTTGGTGGCACACACCTGTAGTCCCAGCTACTTGGGAGGCTGAGGCAGAAGAATTGCCTGAGCCCAGCAGGTTGAGGCTGCAGTCATGCACTGCACTCCAGCCTGTGTGACAGAGTGAGACTCTGACTCAAAAAATAATAATAACAAAATAAATTTTAAAAGAATTTATGTTTTAAGATAATGTAGATTTTTTACTCTGACTAGACCATTATAAGAGGGCTCTTAATTTGGAATCTTTAGATGATCTTCATGATTGATCTTCAGAGATCTTTGGAGTCTCACTCTGTCGCCCAGCCTGGAGTGCAGTGGCCGCTCCCGGCCACTGCAGCCTCGACCTGCTGGACTCCGGTGATCCTTCCACCTCAGCCTTCCAAGTAGCCAGAAGTACAGGCATGCGCTACCATGCCCGGCTGATTTTGTTTTTTTGATTTATTGTAGAGATGCCAGGCGGGTGTCGCTGCCCAGGCGGGTGTCGAACCCACGGGCTCAGGCAATCCACTCACCTCAGCCTCCCAAAGGCATGGGATTACAGGCTGAGCCACCGGGCCCGGCTTATTATGATTTTTTTTAGAGTTTTGTTTTGTTTTGTTTTTAGTTGGAGTCTCACTCTGTCACCCAGACTGGAGTGCAGTGGCTGCTCCTGGCCACCGCAGCCTTGACCTGCTGGACTCCGGCAATCCTTCCGCCTCAGCCTTCTGAGTAGCCGGAATTACAGGCACGCACTACCACTCCCGGCTAATTTTTTTATTTTATTGTAGAGATGAGGTCTCGCCTGCCCAGGCGGGTCTCGAACCCACGGGCTCAGGCAATCCACTCACCTCAGCCTCCCAAAGGCGTGGGATTACAGGCTGAGCCATTGAGCCTGGCTTTTTTAGAGTTTTAAGTGTTTCTAGAAAGAAAAAAGATATTATATAGGCATTGTATGGATTTTAAAATATGTATTTGATTTTTATTTTCCAATGATCACAATTATCATTTAAAAAATGTTTAACAAGCCGGGCTCGGTGGCTCAGCCTGTAATCCTGCGCCTTGGGAGGCTGAGGTGAGTGGATTGCCTGAGCCTGCAGGTTCGAGACTTGCCTGGGCAACTTGTTGAGACCTCATCTCTACAATAAATCAAAAAGAAAAAAAATGTTTAACAATACACAGAAATAGAAATCTTCCTTTAACTCTCATACCAGAGATTCTTCCAGAGAAATATTTGAAAATTTCATGTTTGGTTTAGTCTCTCTTTTTTTGATGCAGGAGGCTGTCAACCTGATCTCTTCTGAGTTTTCCATTAACATTTCATCTAATGCTTTTAGCTGAGATTGATTTTTTTCTCATTGCCTAAATCATTAATTCACTGGAGGTTACAAAATGGTGATGTTTTAATCTTTCTGTATTATTAGCTGGAATTTTTCTATGAAGATTTTTTTTCTCATTAACTAGCCATATGTTCCCTTAACTGCTTAAAAGCTCAGGAGGCTTACCACCCTCTGTTAGGTCTGGGTTTGTGAGTGCTGAGCTTACTCATGTGTTACTCCTTATTCCTTAACAGGAACCCACTGAATCAGAGCTCCACTCTGCTCTGCAGCAGAGTGTTTTAGCAGCAGCTGTCATTTCCATTCTGTTGTTTCTGTGCATTTTCAGCATCCCCTAAGATGGGTCTAGGTGTGGTAACTTGCATCTGTAATCCTAGCACTTTGAAAGGCCAAAGCTGGAGGATTGCTTAAAACCAGAAGTTGAAGCCCAGTTTGGGCAATAAAGCACGATCCTGTCTCTACCCAAAATACACACACACATATATTCCCTGCAGCAGTATTTAGCCACACTGAACAATCTGGACTGTTCAGATTTTTCTCCTGAGGTGCAAATTATTGTTCTTGCTACAAAACTGCATATGTTTTGAGTGGTTAGTTCCTAATACTCTTTTTTATAGTAAGCTCTGTAATTTTTAGTGTGTAGTTTCGTAGAACATGACTTTTTTTACCTTTCCTTAAATAAATCAGTGAAAATGATATTTTTAGGTATGGTATGCCTGTTTTGTTTAAGAGAAAACATTATGAACACATACTAATATTCCCAGTTCAAATTCATTACACTAAAAAAAAAACTTAACTGATTCTCATATTGCTCTTACCAGAGGGGACCCCCAAAAACCTTGAAATTTATTTATAAAAAAATTGTATATTCTTACATACGTAGATTTCAGTCACCTTCAAAATACTCTTCATTTGATGCTGTATACCTGTTGAGACACTTTTTCTACTGCTCAAAACAGTTTTTGAACTTGTCAACTTTGATACCTTTTAGTTCTTCTGTCTTTTTTTTTTTGTTTCGCCTCTTCCACATCAGCAAAACGTTTCCCTTTAGGACTTTTTCATTTGGGGAAGCAAAACAAAGTTGCTTGAGGTGAGATCAGGTGAATAGGGAGGGTGGGGCATGGAGTTCATGATGTTTTTTGGCCAAAAACTGCTGAATACTCAGCGTGGGCAGGTGAGCTCATAAATCATCCATCATGAAATGGGCAAACATATTGAAAGAATCCCCCCCCAAAAAATTCACTGAGGCTGTATGCAGCCTCTCACAACAATGCTAACTGGTATATGGTTGCTAATGGGTTTCTAGAATATTTTCCTAGCCAGGAGAGCCTGTACTACAAGGGGCCTGCCCTCTAAAAGATGATTCTGGGTCTTTTGGAACCCCTTTGTATATTGTAAATTTTGGTAATTCTTAACATTAACATAAAATACCTACTTGATTTAGCAAAATAGATGAGGCTTAGAAAAGCAAAACCACTAACATTTGATCATTGAAAATAGCTTAAGATTTCTTTTCACTTCTTTGTCTGTTGGATATGTCTTGCTAATGATGTACAGTCATCTTGTGTTTAGAATCACTTAAAATAATTCCTTACTGTAGTGAAGCTATCAATTCAATGTCTAGTTAAATTCGAATTTTTTTTTTCCATTTTGCTTTCAATCTGTAGGTTCTCTCCTTTCCCTTATGGGTAACTATTATAATGGTTTTACTGTCTCTTTCTATTGTTGTATATTTTTAACATAAGCAAATGTATATATTCATATTACCTTCTTTCTTAGATAAAAGTTTTTATACTGTACAACCTGTATTGCACTTTTTAGTTAATAGTAGATCCTGAGCATCACTCCGTAGCAGTTACAGAAATATTTTCATTCCTTATTATGGCCACATAGTGCTACACTGATAGATATACCTTAGGTTATTCAACTGTCCCTTATTGATAGTTTTTTGAGTTATTTACAATCTTTGGCTATTTCAAGTAGTGCTGTAGTGACTAGCTTAGTGTATATGTGTATTGTATATCTTTGCTACTTTGTTTTATCTTAATTTTTCTTTTTTTTTTGAGTTGTGTCTCACTTGGTCGCCCAGACTGGAGTGCAGTGGCCGCTCCCGGCCACCACAGCCTCGACCTGCTGGGCTCCAGTGATCCTTCCGCCTCAACCTTCCAAGTAGCCGGAATTACAGGCGCACGCTACCACGCCCAGGCTGATTTTTTTTTGATTTATTGTAGAGATGAGGTCTCCCTGCCCAGGCGGGTCTCGAACTCGCGGGCTCAGGCAATCCACTCACCACAGCCTCCCAAAGGCGCGGGATTATAGGCTGAGCCACCGAGCCCGGCTAATTTTTTTTTAATAGAGATAGAGTTTTGCTGTGTTGCTCAAGCTGGTTCTTGAATTCCTGGGCTCCAGCAATCTTTCCACTTTGGCCTCCCAAAGAACCACTGTGCCCAGCCACTAGTACTAGTGTGTTTTAAGGTTATATTCCTAGAAATAGAATTGCTGTATCAAAGGGTAAATGTATATATATTTTTGTTGTATATTACTATTTACCTCTTCGTTTCTCATTCCTACCAACAATGTATGAGAGTGCTGTTTTCCATGCAATACATATTATCATATGTTTCAGGGCCATTTGCATTTCTTTTTCTGTGAACTATCTGTTCAGACCTCTTATCCATTTTCTAAAGGATTGTTTGTCTTTGATTTCTTTATTTTTAGAAGCTGTATATTAATCCTTTGTGATATAAGTTGCAGATATTTTTTCCACTTTATCATTTGTCTTTGTACTTTGCTTAAAAGCGTGTGTGTGTGTGTGTGTGTGTGTGTGTGTGTTTGTTTTGAGCTGTAGTCTCTGTACCCAGGCTGGAATGCAGTAACATTCTCATGGCTACTGTAACCTCGACCCGCAATTCTTCCACTTCAACCTTCCAAGTAGCTGGAACTACAGGTGTGCACCACCATGCCTAGTTAATTTTTAAATTTATTCTAAAGTCGAGGTCTTGCCAAGTTGCCCAGGGTTGTCTTGAACCTCTGTGTTCAGGCAATCCTCTCACCTCTGCCTCCCAAAGTACCGGGATTATAGGGGTGAGCTACTCTGCCCAACAAGTTTTTTTGTTTTTTTTGTTTTTTTTTTTGAATTATCCAAAAGTTGTTTATTTGCTCTTTTTTATGGGCTATTTCAGTTATCTCTGGATTTTGAATTATACTTAGGAAAATTTTTGTCATTCTTAGGTTATAGCAAGTTATAGAAGAATTCACTTGTATTTTCTTGTAGTTCATGTGTAGTTCATTTTTTACATTTAAATTTGATTCATTTAGAATTTATTCTGGTATATAGTGTGAGGAAAAGATCCGATTTTTAAATGGTTTCATATGATTTACAGTAATTCTCATTAAATCACTTATTAAAAAGTCTTTTCTTCACCTGATTTAAGATTCTGTGTTTTTAAAATTGTAGTGTTGAGATCTGTACTCTATCACTCTCCTTAACCCTATTGAGAAGTCTTAATGTAAGTACATAAAGAATGAGTCTGATTTTATTAAACTGTAACATATATTTTGAGGAGGACCTAGTGTTTTCACATCCACCTACAATTGAATTCTTGGCAAGGAAGCTTTAAACTTGCAAGTTCTTAAACACTAATAGAGTGTTATGTTCTTACAGTGCCACAAGGTTGCGGTAGTGAGAGAAGATAAATTGGAAGGTAAGTGTTGTAGCGATTTAGTAAGTTTTTCCTCTTATGGCATCAATGTAGGTTCAATAAAAAACTGCCTCTAACATCTGCATGTAATATATTTAGCTATTTAACTGAAGAGCCTTGTATTCCTTTTATTAGTAGTTTTTGAAACATTTTAAAATATGATACTACATCTGCCTAATTTCCCAATTTTCAGGCCAATAACTGCTGACATTTATAAAGCAATTTTATCACAGGGTTTCAAGACTCGTGACAGACATTCAGAAAACTATTATGAGTACCATATGCGACACCTCATCAGCCATAAAAAACAGTAGCAGTTTTTTTAGGAAGCAAATTAAAGAATGCTTTTCTAAAAATCAGGAAGACTTCTAAATTAAATTTGTTCAACTGCTTCAAGATTATTAATACTACTGTTCTATTGTTTAGAAACCCAATTCAAAGGAATTTTATGATGGTCAGGGTCCTCCTTGGACCTGTATCTCAATACAAAACCTGCACTGTTGTACTTTGTAAGTAAAGGTTCAGCTGCGCTGGGGCCAGAGGCATAAAAAAAAAATATGTATATTTTTTAAAAGGGCTCCTGTAAGTAATGGTAGGATGAGAGCATCTTACCAAATTAACTCTGAAGTATTCAGAGTGGTGTGAATGCCCACTTTTTTCTTTTTAATTCCCACAGTGGTAGGCAAAGGAAAATTTCTTCATTCTGTAAATGAAGATAAATGTAAAGATTATCTACTAAGTGCCAAGCTCTGTACTAGGCATTGAGGATGTAGAATAAGTCACAGTCCCTTCCCTTGCGGAACCTAAAATTTGTGTTTGTGGTGTTCTTTTGTCGTTTTCCTCTGCAAACTTATCTAGTTAGTAGTATGTTTCTTATAGAGTTGCTTTCTTTAAACTGAAATTGAAATACATAAATGAGTCTTCTCAGAGATTACTTATTCCTCTTAAATTATATGCTAGAGTATAAGACTAAGAAAAAGATCATCGTAGTCATCATCAATCATTCATTAATATTTACTGAGTGTCCACTGGATGAGTGATAACCTCACAGGTGCTTTACTTAGAAATGACTCATCACCACCTACCTTGTCATAATGTCCCCACTGCAGACAGAAGAGTTGATGTTATACTATACATGTGGCTATTTGGCCTTTTAGAATTTTCTGGACCACCACAGATTGCAAATGGTTTTAATGCAGAAGGGGTTCTTGTTAAAAATCCCCACATGCTATGAAGTTTGTGTATTAACAGACTGCTTTTCCTGTTGACTTGTAGCAGTGAAGTCCAAGCTAGCTATGACTGCCAGCATCCATGTGTACAGCGTCCAGAAAGCCATGCTAAAGGACAGTGGGCCTCTGTTCAATACTGACTATGACATCCTTAAAAGCAACTTGCAGAACTGCAGCAAGTAAGCTCCTTAATGTTCCTTGTGGGCTTCTTTACGAATTGATTTTGTAAGATGTTTACACAGTGGCTGCCTCTTAAGAGTGAATGCCAAGTCTAGTAAAACCCCATTTATCTTGCAGTAAGACACATGCCTGGTTTTATTAGTACATCATAAGGTGAAAAATAGCAGCCACAACCCATATTGAAAACCCCAGTGGACTCCCCATAAATCTATTTCTCATATATTTATCCTGTCACTGCCACCAGAAATGTTTGCTGTGTCCCCCTAACTCCCTTACCCCAGTCTCTGCTTGTCTTTTCATACCCATGCTTCAAGAACCAGTTTGTTGTCCTTCAAAAAATTATTCTTAATTTGATATCCCTCTACTTTCCATCCAAAAGCAACATTTTCTGGAGCTTCCATAACTGGAATCAGATCTTGTAAATCTTTTGTATCTTTCACAGCACAGGGAGGTAATGGACTATAATGCATGCACATTTTGGAAGTTTATGGTCATAGGCATGAGTAGTGGCTTTGCTGCTTAATAGCCCAGTGGTGTTGGACATATTGCTTAAACTCTTGGAGCTTTGCTTCTTTATCTTTAAATTAAATGTAATAATATCTACTTTCTAGGGTTGTATTGAGAGTTCAGGTTAGTTCCCCAAACATACAGAGGGAGCCAAAAAGTGTATACACATTTTAAGAAAGGAAAATGCTGTATCAAAATTGTAATACTCGATATAGTCTGATAACAAAAGATGAATACAAGTCACATTTGACTTCTGCAATTATAAGAGGTGCTAAAAGTGGTTACTCTCAATGTCTGGACACCTCTGATTATGGCTATCTAAAAGTAATACATGTATGACGTCTCTTAAAATGTGTATACATTTTTTTGGCACGCTCAGTATATTGAGCATCTACTACTTTAACAGGTATTAAGCAAGGTAATTTGAACTCATTCAGCAAATATCTGGTGAGTACCTATGCCATACTACATACTATAGAGTGAATATACCTGCTTTTGGAACTGATGGTCTGATGGGAGCTGGGCAGTTATAGTACAGGATGACAGTGCAATGATAGGAGTAAGAGTGTAAGAAGTGTTTGGGATGGGTCACTTACCTCCCACATTTGGATGAGTAGATTGAGAGGACAAGGCACAGCAGGCTTCTAGAAGTTTGTGACATCTAAGTTGAGTCCTGAAGGCCTATGGAAATAACCAGGCAAAGAAGAAATAGGAGAATAAGGACAGAGCTAAGAGAGAAAACATGATGCTTGTGCAGATGCACGGTAATTTTCTATGGCTAGAAATCAGAATGAGAATAAGAGATAGGAAATAATGAGCTAGAATACTAAAAGACCAAGGAGGTGTTAGATTATACTTTGACTACCAGGATAAGAAGTTTAGACTTTAATCTGAGAGCACTGGGGAGCCACTGAAGATTTTTAAGCAGATGGAGTGAAATGATCAGAATTGCTTTTTTTTTTAAGAGTAGGGGTCTCCCTCTGTCACCCAGGATAGAATGCAGTGGCACAATCATGGCTCACTGCAGCCTTGACCTCCTGGGCTCAGGCGATCCTTCTACCTGCCACCACACCTGGCTAATTTTTTTTTATTTTTTGTAGAGATGAAGTCTTGCTATTTTGCCCAGGCTGGTCTTGAGCTCCTGGCCTCAAGCAGTCTTGCCTTAGCCTCCCAAAGTACTGAGGTTACAGGCGTGAGCCACTGCACCTGGCCTCAGAATTGCATTTTAGATTGCTCTGTAGCTATGATTGTACCACTGTACTTAGAGTCATAACCTCCCAGAAGCCTTCTCTGTCTTGTCCTCTCAATCTACTCATCCAAAAGTGGGAGATAAGTGTCCTGCCCCAAACACTTCTTACACTATTGCTCCTATTATTTCACTATCATAGTATACTATAACTGCCTAGCTCCCTTCAGACTATCAGTTCCATAAGCAGATACTGACCATATTCACACTATAGTATGTGGTATGTCTTAGGTACTCATCAGATATTTGCTGAATGAATTCAGAGTGAGACCATGTCTTAAAAAAAAAAGAAAAATCACTCTGACTGTGATGTTGAAGATAGATAGATTAGAAGGGAATAATCTGGAGATAAGGCCCTCAGGGAGGAGACATGTTGCAGTGATCCAAGGTGAAGACAGTTATCTGAAGTAAAGTGGTGGTGTTGGGGATTGAGAGGTTTAAAGGTAAAAGAGTAATAACCATCAAAACTTTGATGTGTGGTCACAGTTGAGGACAGGGTGTGGTGGGGCAGCTGTTCATGGTGTTAAAAGAATGATACCCATGCTTCTTGCTTGGATGGGTGGGCACTAAGAAGAGGAAACAAAGGAGGAACAGGCTTTAGCAGAGAGGGAAAAACGATGAACTAGGTTTTAGACATGTTGAGTTTGAGAAGCCTGTGGGAAATCCAAGGGGGAGTGTCTGCTGCCATAGCTAGGTAAATCTAGAACTAAGGAAATGAATTCGTCGTAAAGATGGAGATTTTGGAATCAGAGAGAATAGGTAAGTAACCGGGCCATCGCAGTAGATGCAGTCAATCATACAGAATGAATTATAGAATAAACGAGCAGAAAGTAAAATTCTAGTCCACAGTTACTAGTTGTGTGGCCTTGGCCTTGGGCAAATTATTTAACTCACTATGCTTCAGTTTCCTTAACAGGAAAGGCAACAATAGTACTAACCTCACAGAGTTGTAGAGGATGAAATGGATTAATATATGTCATGCACTTAGACACTTGGTTCACAGTAAGCACTATTTAATGATAGCTGTTTTTAAAGGGAAGGGCAGAAAAAGAGGGATTCGAGAGGGAACAACCAGAGATAATAGAAAAATCATAAGAACATGTGAGGTTCCAGAAGCCAAATGAATAGTTTTAAGAAGGAGGGATTGCTTGACAGTGCCAGACATTGCTGAGAAGCCAAGTAAGATAGAAACTGAAAAGTGTCCATTGGGTTATGATGACCTTGGTAAGAGCAATGGCATAACCAGATTCTGGTCAGCTCAGTATATGGAGGCACAAAAAAATGAGAGCAAATGCAGACAACTATTTCTAGGAAAGTTGACTGTAAAACAGAAGGAAAAGAGGTTGGTAGTGAAGGAAGGATTGAGACTGAGGAAAGATATATACATGCTTAAAGTTGAAAATGACTTGAACTTGTGTTGTTAGGAAAGAGCCATAGACAAGAAAAGGTTGAAGATACTGGGGGTGATGGGATGACTGATAAAGAATGGGTCCTTGAAGACAAATAGATATAGAATTGTCAAACACAGTTTTTGTAAGTTCCATGAGACTAGGGATCATGTGTGTTTTCTTATACCCAAAATGGTACCTGATACATGGTAAACATTCAGTAAGTAATTGTTGACTAAATTAATGATAGACATTAATTCTTTTTTTCTTTATCTCAAAACTTTGAGTATACTAAGCATACAGATTTTTATTAAATAAATAAATACTTAGCCAAAGAGTAATAATTTATAAATCCAGTGTATTTTAGGAAAGGATTTCAAGAAAACATCCCGATAAGTTTATATGAAATATATTATTAGATTTCAAAAATAATGTGTATTAAAATCTGCTTATGGCATGTAAAACTCTAAAACTTAGTCTTCTGTTGTATTTAGCAAGTAAGCAAACAAGAATAAAAGTGGCTCAAGGTTCAAAATGAAATTTACCAGGACCCACTAAAATAAACATGGCAAGTAGAAATGTGGTAATAGGAAGCACTTCAGTGAAACTTTACCTAAATACTTAAAGTATCCTCCGTAGAAATGTGAAGAATTTATCTCCAGTAAAGAAGTTTGTATTTGGTCTCGAAAATTATGGGCCAGCTGAGATCTGACTCATGATTTTGTGTGTTTTAAGAAGTGCTGTGACAGGAAGAAAGTTGAAATTTTAGAATTGAGCAGTCTTCTTTCTTCGGACATACTCCCAGCCTAACTTGGTTTCTTCCTCATTGCCAATTCCTGGACTTGACCTTAAGGTGTGGAATGCAGACCAAATAGAGAAAGAGCTGTCTTTAGGGCCAGCTTTAGATGTTGACAATGAAATAAAACATTGCTCTTTTTCCTGGACATGGAAGCACTACAAGGCCAGAGAGGATGCGTGGAGGGTGAAAGTAAATGACCTGTCTGCTCTTAACACTGATGTACAAAAGATGTGTATTTAAGAAGGGTTTTCAGATGAAGATCGTAATTTATCAGTGGAAGATATTTGGAGCTGTTGACTCTTGCTTTAGGATCGCCCAGTCTAAAGTTATTATTGAAATGAAATGATATGTTAGGGATTTTTTCCTTTGGCCAGGTATTTTAGCAGTTAATCTTGAAGTTGTACCTTGTTGATCTCTAAGATAATTGCTGTCGCTACATAGTTTCCTAAACTCCCACCCCAAGTTGAGGTGATATCCTAAGGAAAGAGAAACCAGATCTGCCCCTTCAGTCACTCAGTCATTCTTTCATCATATCTTCTCTAACACTTGCTATGTGCCAGGTCTTGTGCTGGTTGCCTGAGATATAAAAGGTGATAAGACCCTCAAGGAGCTCTTACCAACCCCTAATAAGCAAAAGACTGGGAAAAAGAAAATGTTTTTCTTTGTTAGGAAACATTGGGGAACTTTGCTTTAAATATAATTCTTTAAGACAGCTGAATCAGTTATTCATTCACAATGTGGATTGTTACATTATGCATTTGTGTGAACAGGCACATCTATGATTAGAGAAGAAGGGATATATGTTCCCTTTAATATGCCATACAAACTATTCCATCAAATTTCTTCACTTGGCCTTGGTTATACTTACTTGTCTGGTACTATTAGTTAGCATTATTAGACATTTTTAACAATTGTCTGTAAAGGATCATATGTTAGAGTAGCCAGTAGCTCTGATCTCACCTTCTTCCCTGTTTTAAAACATGACCTACTCTGGCCAGGAGAGTTGCCAGGAAATTTGTTAATATCTAAAGCTCTTAGTTTTACTTCAGTCAATATTTATTGCATACCTAGCCCTTTAAGAGGACGATCTTTAAAAACGAGACAACCATTTCATTTCCCAAGGATAGTAAAGTCACTAAACCTTTTATTACTGTTTGGTATACTCTTACTCTTTTGAATTAGGTTGCTTTTTTCCAAAAAATGAGAATATTCAATATGGTGTATAGAAGCCACCTAATTCCAACCTATCTCTATTACTAACTATATAACCTAGGACAAGTGACTCACTTCTCTCCAATATTTGTTTCTTTATCTAAATGAGTTTTGTACAAAAGAATTCCTAAAATCCATTCTAGTTCTAAAATTCCATTTTTTTATAGTACTAGAAAGTATTATGTGGAAAAAGCAATAGTTTGAAAATAAGGTTTTCTATTGACCTTAATTTAATGTATCATTTCTGTCCTCAGGTTTAGTGCCATACAATGTGCAGCTGCAGTCCCTAGATCTCCTGCTGAATCCTCATATTCCAAAAAGTTTGAGCAGTCACATCTTCAGGTATCAAATGAGACACAAGCCAGCAATGAAATGACCACCAATGGTCATGGCCCACGTGCCTCCAAACAGGTTTCCCAGCAGCCCAAAGGAATTATGGGAATGTTTGCCTCCAAAGCAGCTATTAAAACCCAAGAAACTAATAAGGAAACGAAAACAGAGGCTAAAGAAGTAATAAATGTAAGTCTTCCTTGAAGATATGCCTTTATTACAGCTCTGAATAGTAAAGCATTAATAGTTCTAGTGGTAGCAGTTCTGATGTGTGTAAGTAGTATATGGTTCTGATATTCAGTTCTGATTTTTCTACTTTAGTTTGAGCCCTTTAATACTTGATATTCTTATCTGAAATAGTTCTTTTTCTTTTGATAATGGTTCTTATCAAGCCTTGGATTCCCCTGTGAAATGGTAATGCCTGTCTTGTGTACATCACAAGATTGTTATGAGACCTACATGAAAAAATGCATGTGAATATACCTTGAAAATTATAAAGTTCAAGTAATTATTGGCAATATGTCATTTTGGGGGGACATCTTATATCCTGGACTTTGCAATATAAGCCTTCCTAGTGCATTTCTACTCTTGTCCTGTTTTATGCATTTTCTTTTGTTTGTTTTTCTTCATTTGCTCCCCTTGGTTTTTTATTGTTCAGTCATTTGAATTTCAGGGCATTGATTTAAGAAAAGTATCATTAAGATACTATTTTAAAAATCCAGAAATTTTGTTGTTGTTAATTGTTGTTGCTACTATTATAACCATCACCAAGCTTGTCATTTTCAAGCTTCTATTCTGTGAAAGGAAAAGGGGTGAAGGTAAAAACTAACATTTATTGAATTCCTACTGTGTACATATAGTTTGATCTTTGTTTAAATCCTGTGAACAATTCTGTGAGGGAAATATTACCATTTCGATTTTGTTTCGTTTTTTGAGTTGGAGTCTCACTCCATGGCCCAGCCTGGAGTGCACTGGTGTGCTCACAGCCATCAACCTGCTGGGCTCCAGGCATCCTTTTGCCTCAGCCTTCCAAGTAGCCGGAACTACAGGTGTGCACTGCCCACGCCTGGCTGATTTTTTGATTTATTGTAGAGATAAGGTCTCACCAAGTTGCCCGGGCTGGTCTTGAACCTGTGGGCTCTGGCAATCCACTTGCCTTGGCCTCCCAAAGTGCTGGGATTACAGGCTGAGCCACCGAGACCAGCCACCATTTCCTTTTTGTATGTGGTAAAGCTAAAGCCTAGATTTAAGTCATTTGCCTGGAGGTCATATTGCTATTAAGTGGTGGAACCAGGATTCAGATCCACTTGTGATGATTAAAAACATAACATTTAGTCAGGCTTGGTGGCTCAGCCTGTAATCCCGCGCCTTTGGGAGGCTGAGGTGAGTGGATTGCCTGAGCCCGCGGGTTCAAGATCCGCCTGGGCAGCGAGACCTCATCTCTACAATAAAGCAAAAAATCAGCCGGGTGTGGTAGCGCGCGCCTGTAATTCCGGCTACTTGGAAGGCTGAGGCGGAAGGATTGCTGGAGCCCAGCAGGTCGAGGCTGCAGTGGCCGGGAGTGGCCACTGCACTCCAGTCTGGGTGACAGTGAGAGACTCCAACTCAAAAAAAAAAAAATAATAATAACACTTGGGGTTTTCCCCTTGTGTACCATGATGCCTCTGATCTGTTTTTTCTGTCAGAGTAAATGGTTTTTAAATATGCTCAAGAGCTGGCCATGGTGGCTTATGCCTGTAATCCCAGTACTTTGGGAGGTCAAGATGAGAGGATTGCCTGAACACAGCGGTTCAAGACCAGTTTGGGCAACTTGGTGAGACCTCATCTCTACAATAAATAAAAAAATTAACTGGGTGCAGTGTTCCACCTACTTGGAAGGACCTGGGTGACAGAATGAGACTCTGGCTCATACACATATACATACATACTTAAATCTCTACAATAAATCAAAAAATTAGCTGAGTGTGGTGTTCCACCTATTTGGAAGGCTAAGGTGGAAGAACATAGGCGACAGAGTGAGACTCTGGCTCATAAATACATATGTACATACATACATAAATACATAAATAAATAAAATGCATGCATGAAAAGTTTAGGTACACCCATGGATGATAATTTTGTAATAACTATGAGAAACTAAGCTTTGGAGATTAATGCTGTCTGGTCTGGATTATTGTTCTAGATTTGTTCTTTTTTTTTTCTTTCTTTTTGAGTTGGAGTCTTACTCCGTCGCCCAGGCTAGAGTGCAATGACATGCTCACGGCCACCTCAGCATTGACCTGCTATGCTCAGGCGATCCTTCCTGGAACTATAGGCGCATGTTCCCGCACTTGGCTAATTTTTTGATTTATTGTAGGGATGAGGTCTCGCCAAGTTGTCCAGGTTGTTCTTGAACCTATAGGCTCAGGCAATCCCCACACCTTGGCCTCCCAAAGAGCTGGGATTACAGGCTTGAGCCACCGCACCCAGCCTAAATTTGTTCTTATATCAAACACCTATACATTTGATATGATTATACAGAAACTATACCATCACAAGTGATGTTATTGAAATGATTGTTTGAAACTGTGCTACTTTAAGAGCAGCCAACATGCTAGAAAAAATCATATATGTTTTCTTTTCTATGTTTGTAGGCATCTTCAACAGGCAGCAAGGCACCAGCGAAAGGGAATGTGATGAGCAATTTTTTTGGAAAAGCTGCTATGAGTAAGCTTCTTCTTACTTTACTATGGCTAATAAATGAATGTTAATGTAATAACATACCTGAGGTGAAAGGCACTTCGTCTAGTTTTTGCCTATCCAGTAGCATTCCTACATCCCAACATAAATTTACAGTGTCCTGAGCAATATATTGATGACAGGAACAGTGGACTTTCTGAACAAATTCAGTTGAGATCTTTTAGAGGGCAGTTTACTATTCCTATTTTTACCTGCTTTTAGAAGAGAATTACATATTTGCTTCATAGGGCTCTTGAAAATGGGTGATTAAAATAAAATCAGTATAGTGTTGAGGTTAATGTGGATGCTGGAGTCATTTTGCCTCAAGTGACCTTTATTACTCCTATCTCTAAAGTAGTCACAAAAGCAAATCTTTAGCCTTTCTTCATTTATTTTTCAGATTACCCACAGTAATGAATTAGACCTCTATGTAAGTTAGAAGGATCCAGATAGTAATGGACATTTAAAGATATTTGTTGTTTGAGAAAGCAAAAATCTCCTTTATTTAAAAAAATATTTAAATAAAAATGCTTTCATATGGAAAGAACCAGTAGTCACGTATTTTCATACTTCTCATATCAAGTACACATCCCCTGAGGATATGTGGCAGAATACCAGGAAGAATGCAGGAGCCGCAGGATAATTATGGAACACTTTCTTGGAGCATCAGTTTTACAAAGATTTTGCAGGAAAGCATTTTGTTATATGCCTGTGTAAGCAAAATCAGTCAGAATTATGCTTTTCCATGATGGCTAAATTGGTGGTCAAAGGAGGGATTGGGGTGTCAGTGTTTTTATTTGCCATACAAGCTATCAGAGAAGAACATTTTTATGTGCTGAAAGTATATGAAAAATATTATATTTAAGGGTTATTGGGAAGCATGATTGTATTATTTTGGGCACAGAGCACAGGGAGGGCTCCCCACTTCTGTTAAAATAGCATGTTGATGTCACTAGCCTGCTTGGCTGCTACTGGGCTACTGTACTCAATCAGATTACGCTTTCTTGGCAACTTTAGTGAGGGCTGCATGTTTGTTGTTGTTTTAGTGCATTAAAGCCAGTAAATTTTTGAATTCTTGTTTTTAAAATATGTAAGACTTGTGAATATATGTTAATTAAAAAAACTGTACACAGGCGTACACTTATTTATTCATGTGTTTATTTGGCAAATATTGATTGAATACCTACTGTGTGCTTGGCATTATTATGCACTGATGACACAGTAGAGGAAAAGACAAACAAGGTCCCTACCCTCACATTTCTTATATTCTATTGGGAGAGACAAAGATGGAGAAAAAGTCAGACATGGTGGTACATGCCTATAATTCCAGCTACTCAGGAGGTTGAGGCAGAAGGATTGCTTGAGCCCAGTAGTTTGAATCCAACCTGGGTAATATAGTGAGATGGTCTCTAAAATATATATGTCTCTCTCTCTCCCTCTCTCTCTCTCTCCCCCCATATATATATATTCCATATGTATATGGAAAAAATTAAATCGTTAGCTATTGCTAGGCAGAGAATAGCAGGGTGTTATGATAGCATACAATAGAGGGAGAATCCTAAATAAAATAAATATTCACCTAATAAAAGTAATTATTTACAAAGTTTATCTGACAGACATTTTTTCAAGGCTGAATGCTCAGTAAAACTTTGAACGTTTTATGTATTTGATACATGACAAGATGATTGAAAGATGACAAGATGAAAATGAAGCTTAAGAGTTGAATGAGGCTGGGCTCGGTGGCTCAGCCTGTAATCCCAGCACTTTGGTAGGCTGAGATGAGTGGATTGCCTGAGCCCATGGGTTTGAGACCCATGGCAACTTGGTGAAATCTCATCTCAGCAAAAAAAATTAAAAATTAGCTGGACATGGTAGTGTGCACCGGTAGTTCCGGCTACTTGGAAGACTGGGGCAGAAGGATCGCCGAAGCCCCACAGGTCGACAATGGGGTGGCTGTGAGTGTGCCACTGCACTCCAGCCTGGGTGACAGAGTGAGACTCAAACTCAAAAAAAAAAAAAAAAGAGTTGTATAAACAGTTTATTGTGGGGACCCGAGCCATTTAAAACTTAATACTGGACAGTAACAAGTGTTGGCAAAGGTGTGGAGAAATTGAACCCTTGTACATTGTGGTGGGGAATATAAAATGATATACTCACTTTGTTTTTGTTTTTTTTTTTTGAGTTGGAGTCTCACTCTGTCGCCCAGACTGGAGTGCAGTGGC